GAGAGAAGGAGAGACAGAGAGGGGAGAGAGACAAGAAGAAGAGAGGAGGACAGAGAGAGAGATGATGAGAACAGAGAGAGAAGACGAGATATCAGAGAAGAAGAGAGACAAGAGAGAGATGGAAGGAGAAGAGAGAGGAGAGGATAGATGAGAGAGAGAGAAGAGAAGGAGAGAGAGAGAGAGATGAGAGAAAGGAGAGAGAGAGAGAAGAGAGAGGGAGGAGAGAGAGAAGAGGACAGAGTGAAGGAGAGAGAGGACATGAAGAGAAGAGAAGAGAGAGAGACTAGACGACAGAGAGGAGAGAACAGAAGAGAGAAGAAAGAGAAGCGACAGAAGGAAAGAGAGAAGAAGAGAGGACAGAAGAGAGAGGAGAGGACAAGGAGGGAGAGGAACAGAGAGGAGAGACAGAGAGAGAGAGAGAGAGGAGAGAGAGGAGAGCGAGAGAGGAGGGAGAGAGAAAGAGAGGAGAGAGAGAGGAAGGAGAGAGAGCTAGAGAGAGAAGGAGAGAAGAGTTGAGAACAGACGGAGAGACGAGAGAGAGAGGAGAGAGAGACAGAGAGGAGACAGAGAGAGGACAGGAAGAGGACCAGGAGAGAAGAGACAGAGAAGACAGGACAGACAGACAGACAGGACAGACAGGACCAGACAGACAGAGATGAGAGAGAGAAGAGAGAGAGAGAGAAGAGAGAAAGAGAGAGGAGAGAGAGAGAGGAGAGTGGAGGAGAGAGAGAGAGAGAGGGAGAAGAGAGAGAGGGAGAGAGGGAGAGAGAGGAGACAACAGGACAGACAGACAGGACAGGAACAGGAAGACAGACACGAGCACAAGACAGGACAGGAAGGACAGTTCAGAACAGAGAGAGCGACAAGACAGAACAGAGGGAAGAGACAGACAGACAGAGAGGACAGGCAGAACAGGACAGGGAGACGAGGATCAGGACCAGAGAGAGGACAGACAAACAGAGAGGAGACAAGACAGAGGAGAGGACAGACAGACAGAGGAGGAGACAGGACAAGACAGACAGACAAGAGCAGAGACAGACAGACAGGACCAGAGAGGAAGCGAAACAGACAGAGAGGACTGAGAGGAAGGACAGGACAGAGAGACAGAGAGGAGACAGCAGACAAGAGAGAGGAGGGAGACAGGAGAGAAGACAGAGAGAAGATGGAGAGAAGAGAGACGAGAGAAGAGAGAGAGGAAGGAGAGAGAGAGAAGAGCAGAGAGAGAGGAGAGAGAAGAGAGAGAGAGAAGAGATGAGAGACAGAGAGAAGGAGAGAGAGACAGACAAAGAGCAGAAGAGAAGAGAGAGACAGAGAGAAAGAGAGAGGAAGACAAAGAGGAGAGGAGAGAGAGACAGACAAAGAGAGAGAGAGAGACAGACAAAGGAGAGAAGGAGAGACAACAAAGAGAGAGGAGAGAGACAGACAAAAGAGAGAGAGACAGAAACAAAGAGAGAGAGAGAGAAGAGAGAGAGAGAGAGAGAAGAGAGAGAGAGAGAGAGAGAGAGAAGAGAGAAGAAGAGAGAGGAGAGAGAGAGAAGAGAGAGAGAGAGAGAGAGAGAAGAGAGAGACAGAGAGACAGTTCAGACCAGTCAGACAGAGAGAGAGAAGAGAGAGGACAGAGACAGAGACAGAGAGACAGAGACAGAGACAGACAGATACAGGAGATAGACAGACAGAGACAGATAGACAGACAAAGAGAGAGAGAGAGACAGACAAACAGAGAGAGAGAAAAGAGGAGAGAGAGAGAGAGAGAGAGAGAGAGAGAGAGAGAGAGAAGAGAGAGAGAGAGAGAGAGAGAGAAGAGAGAGAGAGAGAGAGAGAAGAGAGAGGAGAGAGAAGAAGAGAGAGAGAGAGAGGAGAGAGAGAGAAGAGAGAGAGAGAGAGAGAGAGCAGACAGAGAGCGAGAGACAGACAGAGAGAGAGACACAGACAGAGACACAGACAGGAGAGACAGACAGACACAGACAGAAGACAGAACAGAGACAGAGACAAGACAGTCAACACAGCCAGAGACAGACAGAATGAGAAACAGAGAGGGAGGTCCAGCAAAGCATTTAATGAAGCCTGAACCTTTATCCTTTTCTTTTCATTCTACTCCAAGCCAAGACTTGTATAAAGCTTGCATGCCAAGGGTAAAGAGCTTCCCAGATGCAGATTACCTTAAATCACGATGCACATTCTTAATCAAGGTTAAATGAATGGAACAAAGAGTTTCCAAAGTCACTGTTACATCCAGGCCTCATGGTAGCAAGTGAGATTTTATTGCAGAATGACTTTCAATGTGAGGAAGACCCACTGCCACACACACACAAAATTATGGCAATACAACAAAAGTTGAATCAAGCTAACACATACATAGTAAGAAAAAAAAAAAAAAAAAGAGCAAGGTGTTTATTAATCTTTTATTTCAACTAAGCTGGAATAAAGTTGAGAAAAGGCAGAGGACAATATTAAACACATGGCCCGAATTGAAATCATTACACCATTAACCCCAAGGATGAAGCAATGCATTTCCTTCCATTTCCTTTCTGTTTAAAAAGAAAAATCATATCTATATAAATAATAAAATAACATAACATAAAGCAACCATAACTCATCTAAAATCATACACTCCTACAGAGTATCTTGCTACACAATTTTTGACCACCAAACAATCTACAGTACAATACGCGCACACAAAATCTAAACACCAAAGGATTAGTAAGAGAGCATTCTCAAGCACCGTACAAAGTGGGGGGACGGGGGTCACACACATGGGGGAGGGGGGATAAAGAAGTCGTACACAAAGAGACCAACACCAAGACCAACAAACACAGAGACAAAGACAGAGGCAAATAAGAGAGGGGAGAGAGAAAAGGAAAAAGTAATATCACCCACCAGCAACGCGACCACCATGGCAACCCTCAACCTTAAGACTTTATCTTGACTTTTTTTTTTTTTTTTTTTTTTTTTTTTGACAAGACTTTACAATTCTGATAAACTTACGAGAAGCTCCTCCTTAGGCACCCCTCTACGCTCCTCCTGAGAGATCTGCAGCACAACCACGGTTAGTCACACAGGCACACTCACTGGCTGAAGGGTTACTACGGTACACAGCCCATGATAAGGTCATTTACATCTTGTTATAGTGGCCATTATTGTTAGAAAAATAAAATACAACAAAAAAATAATAACAACAAATTACACCATCATAATAAAAATGAAAGCTGATACGTATACTGTCTTATCACTATATCATTTATCTCTAACTGAAACTAAAGTTTCTCTCTTAATCTATACCAATAAAAATAAAAGAAAATAGTACCACTGTGTTAAAACTCAAAACAAACTATTTCCAATAGAATAAAACTAAATTACGTTTTTTTTCCCTCTTGTTCTTTATTTCTTTAGTCTCATAACGGAAACTATGGACAAGATAAACAAGTAAAAAAAAAAAAAAAAAAAAAAAAAAAAAAAAAAAAAAAAAAAAAAAAAAAAAAAAAATCTGGCCAATACAACAGGACTCCTCTGCTTACACCCAGGGTTACTACGCCAACCTGATATCACCTCTCTAACTCCGTTACTCAAAAGGGCAGAGGTGAGAGGGCTGTGGTTCCCCCCCCTGGCATCAAACTCAGGTTAATTAACAACTTGCACATTACATTCAAAGGTAAGGTAAGGTGAGGTGGGGGGGGGGAGGGGGGGGGGTAATCTAGCGTATTACTACAAATAATAACTGCACAAGAAAACGTTTAAAACATAAGTAAAAAAAATAATAATAACAATCTATTAATAAAAGTAGTAGTCTTTAGAGGATGATTTAGCAAGCCATCATGCAGTGAGGCTAAAATTTAAAAAAAATAAAAAAGAATTTCATTAATCTGTAAATCTAATCTTAATTATTTACAATTATATCTTCCTCTCTATGTGTATGTGTGTGGGTGTTGGTGACGGTGTGTATGGGTGTGCGTGTAGGTGTGCATGTGGGTGTGGGTGTGGGTGTGGGTGTGCGTGTGGGTGTAGGTGTGGGTGTGGGTGTGGTGTGGTGTGGGTGTGGGTGTGGGTGGGTGTGGGTGTGGGTGTGGTGTGTGGTGTGGTGTGGGTGTGGTGTGGGTGTGGGTGTGGGTGTGGGTGTGGGTGTGGGTGTGGAGTGTGTGTAGTAGGTGTGGTGTGGTGTGGTGTGGGTGGGTGTGGGTGTGGGTGTGGTGGGTGTGGGTGTGTTGTGGGTGTGGGTGTGGGTGGGTGGGTGTGGGTGTGCATGTGGTGTGGCATGTGGGTGTGGGTGTGGGTGTGTGGGTTGGTGTGCATGTGTACATTCATACAGACAGATAAATAGGGTAACTAAGTATGACCATTTTAAGTTCTTAAAAGATTACTTAATCCAAATATCCAAATGCTTTGCACAATCAACCTGGTAACAAAATATATAATACACAAATGACTCTCTAGCAGTGTACATACTTTGCTTTAAATCTTGTCCATGCACTTCATATTGCACATCTATCAATCAACAATAAGGGGTCAAGCTATAACATGATGTTAATATCAACAAAAGAGAATTGATGCATTGTGCTCAATCATGGGTTGGTCAAATCATTAATTCAACTAGAGGGGAAAAAACATTAAAAAAAGAGCAAAAAAAAAAACAAACAAAAAAATTGCATTCTAGGAACAACAGCAGCAGTCAACTAGCCAAGCACAGAGCCAGCTAGAGTGCAGTGTATATAGTGCGTGTCTTCACATACTTCCTTGACACGACGTATTTGCATCCATATATATCTACCTGGTTCTGACAAAGTAAGGCTAAGTTGTTGAGTTGCTTGGCCACATCAGGGTGGTCGCGGCCTAACACCTTTTCGCGGATTTCCAGGGCTCTCTTGCACAGAGGCTCGGCCTCCTTGTATTTGCCTCGCTTCCCATATAACACCTGTGGGGCAGGTAAAAAATGCTTACTCCAAAAACACTAAGATAATCAACTAAAAGATTTTTTAACTATCATACAACACTACAAACTTTAGCTT